GAGAGTCACGAAACAATAAGCAAATTAATTGTCTCCTGCAAACTCCACTCCCCTTTTGCTCCTCTTTTATTTCATCTGGGAGGGGCCATTCATCGTCCCCCCTGTGGCCTTACTCCCAAGTCGGCCCCTGTTCTTTAGCTGCTCCCTTCGTCTGGCAGCTCTGCACATGCACACACTGGGAACAGGCTCCAGCTGTTCTTCTGCCTCACTGATGTCTGACTCCAAGGGCAGCTGATAACTGTCAGACGGCCTTGGCCCCCTCTCTGCCTCCGACGCAGAGCCCTCATCAGAGCCTTCCCCAGATGTTCCTCCCCAACTTCCTCACTGTCCGAATCTGCTGCCAGCTCCGCTGGCGGGCCACAACAGATACAGAATAAGATTCAGGGAAACCAGAACTAGCATCTCCGTTAGCTATCATGGCTAGCTGGCCTGGGAGCCCTTCTCTTTTGTTACAGAGAGCAGGAACGACTATCCCACTAGGTACAACTAATGTCTAAGATATTAGATGCGGTGTCAATCTGGACTGGGGTAGAAAGGCCGTTTCTGAAAAGCTGGGGCTGTGAGGTAGGGTAAAGATGCAGAGCATAGAAGGTCAAGATTTTTAAGGAGTTTGGGTTGTCTGGACGAGTCTAATGGGATGCAATATAGAGGGTTGGATTTCCAAGAGGGTGGGGGGCACATTTCAGAGGAATAAGAGGCAAAATTCAGCCCAGGTATTATGTGTGAGAGAAAGAGAGTGAAGACAGCTCCTCCTCATTAGTTCCAAGAATATATGCATGCAGGGAGTAGTCTGCTTCAGTTTGGCAAGATTCAGTCTGTAAGTCAAGAACAATAAAATCTGCTCGGAAAAATCACAATGTGCCTTTCTCGGTTTTTCAAGCCTGACGTCTAATTGGTCCAAAGCAGCATCCTATAAGAACAGGTGGTGGGTAACTATGGTAACTTAAATGACCTGTGGACTTCAACTCCCAGAATTCCTGAGCCAGCCAAACAGCCATGCTGGCTTTGGAATTCTGGGAGTTAAAGTCCCCAGACCGTAAAGTTGCCATAGATGTCTATCCCTTTATTAGAACTGGATAAAGTTGGTTATAAAAGAAGAGAAACTTTATAGCAAAGCTGAAAACTGACCGCGACTGTTGCTATGGAGCCTCCATTCTGACGTGCCACTGTGGAGTCTTGACCTCCAACCACGGTAGTTACTGCCTCTGGTGAGAGCGGGGAAACGCTTGGCAAGCCTTCGGTCCCCAGCAGTGGCAATGTATTGCCGGGGATAATACCAGCTGATTTAGCCGCCAAATCAATCGCGCCTTTGGACAGAAAACAGGAAATGTGAGAAAGGGCATTTTCCTGAAACGAAAGTTTTTAGCAAAACACTAAAGTTGAGGTAACAGGGACGCCGTGGCTCAGTGGCTAAGACACTGAACTTGTGGATCAAAAAGGTTGGCAGTTCAGCAGTTCGAATCCCTAGCGCTGCATAACGGAGTGAGCTCCTGTTACTTGTCCCAGCTTCTGCCAACCTATCAGTTTGAAAGCACATAAAAATGCTAGAAAGCAAGTAGAAAAACAGGAACCAAGTTACTTTTTCACTACAGTGGTAACTCAAATGAGACAATGACGGAATGAAAATGACCTCTCTCTCTCTCAAAAAGCTAAGATTTTCCATTGCTTCATTATCTTCACCTTATTTAAAATCTCCAGGGTCCTGATATCACCTGAATTATTAAACCAGGTCAATAGGATCTTTTTTCAAAAGGATTTAGAGACCTCCAGGACCCTGGAGATAATCGGCACTTCAAAAACTAATCATGGGGGAAGATAGAAACGGTTACTGCAGAGCTAGTAATAACTGGGAGATAAGACAGGTACAAAAAGTCAAGGACTGCCCCTAAGCATACTTATGCGCTACAAATCCATTGACGATGTCCATTTCGCTCTCCGAATTCATGGAGAGCTAAGCCTAACCCTAAAGGGATTTGCCCACCCACCCCCCATGGGATTTTCCCATGTATTTTGCCTGGGAACGTAGATAGGATGGGCTCAAAAAGTCAGCACCCTCCTAAGCATATCCATGCACTCCGAATCTGTGGGCGATGCCCATTTTGCTCCCCAAATTCATGGAGAGCTAAGCCTAACCCTAAGTGGGTTTGCCCCCCAATGGGATTTTCTCATGTATTTTGCCTGGGAACGTAGATAGGGCGGGCTCAACAAGTCAGCACCCTCCTAAGCATATCCACGCGCTACAAATCCACTGGCGATTTCCACATTGCTCTCTGAATTCATGGAGACCTAATCCTAACTCAAAGGGTAATCCCCCCCCCGCCCCCAATGGGATTTCCCCATGGAAACCTAACCCTACCTCCACCTCCCTGTGCCTGGACTTTCTTTGGCAAAGGAGACTTACTGGACAGACGAGTGGTGGCTTGAGCTGGAAGGATCTTGGGAACTATGGGGCGTGATACGGCAGCTTTAGTCAGCGAAGACTGGATGGGCCGAAAAGATCCCCTTCCTTAAAAAAAAAAGGGAATACAATCAAGAACAGCAGGAATGATTAAAAGCACACCAAATTTGAAAACCATTTTTAAAAAGGCACTTGGGAGTTACCGTATTTTTCAGAGTATAAGACGCCCCTTAGTTTTTGGGGAGGAAAATGACCAAAATGGCCCCCGCGACCAATAGCGGGGACGGGAGATTCAAAGGCTGCTGCCAGTATGGAGAAAGCCTGCCTCGTATCTTGCCAGCGACCGCAGCCGCAGCTTCCAGAGGCTCTTGAGGTTGAGGTAATACAGGGAGCCAAGCCATATGGCGTTGGCAGGCAATCTCGGGGGGAAGGAGGGGGGCGACAGACAGCGGCTAGAGCGGGTGGTGCGGGGCGGCGAACCGATCCCCAGCCTCCCTCGGCAAGACAAAATGAAGGCGGCGAAGCAACCTTCCCACAATGAATAACGGCACACCCTCGCCTCCAACAAAGGGGTTCCGTTCGCCAGTTCAGTGTGAAACATATTGCTCAGATTATAAACATGGTTGAGCAGCTTACCTGTTATGGAGGAGTTCGATAAGATGGAAAAGGAACAAACGTGCTGGGAAGGTTTTTCGGAAGGTCTTGGAAGCAGTGTTCTCTGTGAGAAGAAAGTGAGATATAACTTTAAAAGAAAAATAAAAGATCTCCAATGTGTTGTGGCCCACCAGTGGCCAGCAGAGCTGACAGCAGATTCGGACAGTGAGGAGGTTGGGGAGGAAGATGGGTCAGTCCTGGAATCTGGAGAAGGCTCTGATGAGGGAT